TGTATCAGAAGATCAAAGTGTAATTAATACAAAGCCTGCTGCTTTAATTAAAAACAAAGAAAGATTTGAACATATAAACGAGTATGTGCTAGAGGGTATGATTAACAGTAAGTCTATCAAGTGGCAAACTTATAATATTTGTAAAGGATTTAAACCACCTAGAGCCCATCACTGTGGTATCTGTAACAGATGTTTATTGAGATTTAATCATCACTGTACTGTATTTGATGTTTGTATTGCTTTTCATAACTATAAATATTACTTTCAGTTTTGTGTTTCATCTTTATTATATTGTGCATTAAGCTTACCTATATTAGTTATTGATCTTTTTACTAACAGATTAAATACAAGAAAGATTGCTTTTATATATTCACTAGCTATAACAATAATAGTTATTGAATTATTAATTATATCAATAGAGGTTTATAAACATATAATACTAATATCAAATAATGAAACTATTGTTGAACAACTTGCTATAAATAGATACCTGAAAAATGATCACACTTACATTCACATTTTCCAAGAAGGTCCCATTACTTTATTTTCTGATAGCAAGGATAGAACCGTTTTAAATCCTTATAATTTAGGCAGTGAATTAAATTGGAAACAGGTATTTGGTGATAGTATAATCAAATCAATCCTTCCAATATTTACCTCTAAAACTGATGGTATTCATTGGCCAACTAATGATAATGATGATAATACACATGAAATGTTCAATTTGTAATAAATAGTTTCTAAATTAAGAAATTTAATTAAAAACGTCTCTTATTAGGAGATAGTGTCATTGAAAAAAATTCCTGTGATTTTGATACTTCATTAGACAATTTCATCTTATAAAGAAATCCATGTAAATCATTTCCATCCAACAGTCTTGAATAAGGTATCTCATACCAGATAGCTGATGTAAAACATATTTCAAATATTTTTAAAGAAAAAACGATAAAGTCAATAACCCACCAATTAACTAACATGACAATTAGCATCATAGAACTATCAATTTGTGTAGGTGCAACAATCATCTGATTTAAGAATATCAACGATAAATAAATAAATGATCTAAATCCAAAGAAATTCTTAATAATCTTAGTTACTAAATAACAACTAAGTGCGTAGTCTTTCTTATCTTCCTTAATGTTTGATAAAATTTCTATAAACTTAGTTGGTAAGAAAGGGAAGTATCTTAATAAATAAATAGAAACTCTCTTATAAAAATAACTTAGTGATCTATTAAGCATATTTCTCATAAATCCAAATAAAATATGAGCCATATATGTAACAATCATAAAAGTAAATAAGAATTTAGTGACAATTCTAAATACTTGTCCTTCCTTCTTATAATTTAAGAAATTGTTATGAAAAAGTCTTGAAATAAAATCACTATTCTTTTCCTTACAAAGACTGCAAATAGGAAAGCTTTGGTAAAAATCTCTAAATGTCCTACAAATTATGACATTCTCGGTGTCATTCTTTATATTGTGATTACACTTAGCACATAATATAAAATCTATTTGTTTGCTTTGATTAATTGGCAAACAGCTAACTTTCTGTTTATTATTATCCATTTTATAGTAAATTTCACACTTCTCACAGTATAAATAATCATCTAACAGTATTATGTCTGGGCTGTAACAAATTTGACATATTTTTCTCATCATTTTAGGGTGTTAACAAATTATTTTGTTTGTATGATTTTTTATTAAGAAAAAATTTAATGATAAAAAACAATCAGAAAACTTATTCACCTCTTTCTTTTAGAAATGTTGCTTTTAATACTACAAACATAGATTTGAAGGATGAATTTACATTAAGAATGTTAGATAAAACCAATTTTATTTTCTTATATAATTATTATAGATTAAATAAACAAAAAATACCAGCGGTTAACATTCTTAAGAAAATTAAATTCTTAAAAGCTAGTAGTGAATTTTTAGAAGAAATAATTGAAGTGTATTTAGATTCAAATGATTTTATAGGGGCTTCAGGTTATGTTAAAGGTTTTGAAATTACTAATCCTAACGCAATTCATTTGGAATTTTTGATAAAGGCACGTCAGTTATATAAAATAAGAAACAGAGAAGAGTTTTTAATTGCAGTTGAAGAAGGATTGAAATTAAAATTTAGTAGAAAGTTTATTAATATGCTTGAAAAAAATGATTTTGATAGAATCAAATATTTATTTTATAATGACTACTTCGAGAATTTGTCAATACCTGATTTAGAATTTCTCCATTTTAAATTTCCTAATTC